GAATATTTGTAAATACATTAAAGAGATACATACCAACAGGAAAATTTATATTGTTGATAATTTTTCAAAAAAATTGATTGGTCCTGGTTTTACTAATAAGGGTTTAGCACAAGGATCTCCTTTAGCTCCAATTTTATTTAATATTTATATTAATAATGTTAGTGACTTTATTGGGGATGATGTTAAATTAATTCAATATGCTGATGATATTGCTCTCCTGGCTCAAGGTTATGATATAGATTTGATAGTTAATAAATTAAATGTTACATTGGACAGTCTTGAGGAATGGGCGAGATTAAATGAAATGAGTTTTTCTCCTGAAAAATCTTCCTGTATTTTAATTCAAAGAAAATTTTATAATCGTATTTTACCAGATATTAAATTTCAAAATCATGTTATTAGATGGGTTGAATATGTTAAATATTTGGGTATTTTTATTGATAATCGGTTTTCTTGGAATCATCAAATTGAGGCTATGTGTTCTAAAGCTACTAAGGGTATTAATTTAATGAGATATTTTTGTAAAACCTGGTGGGGGGGACATCCAATTACTATGTTAAATTTTTTTAAGTCCTATATTCGGTCACATTTAGATTATGGTAGTATATTATTAGCTAAATGTTCTAAAAAGTTATTAGAAAAACTTGATAAAGTTCATTTTCAAGCCTTACGCATTTGTTTAGGGTTTATGCGTTCCTGTCCAACTAATATCATTTTATCAGAATCGGCAGAACTTCCCCTTAATATTAGACGTAATTTTTTGGCCACTAAATTGCTTTTAAAAGCATTCTCTATTCAGGATAATCCCATTATTCAGTCTGTTACAGAAGCTTATGGGGCATATAATCAATCATTTGGTTTTTGGTCAAGATATTATCATGTTCCTCCTCTTATTGAAGGCATTGATCAAATTTTTCCTCATGTTCAAGATGTTGATGTTGTTAATATGCATCATTATTATAAGTTTCCTCTTTATTTTAGTAAAAATGAATATTTAAGATTGGATTTAAATAAGAGTGAAAATAATTCTATTAAATTTAGAGAAGTTATTGAGTTAAAATTTAAACAAAAAATTAAGTTTTTTACGGACGCTTCTAAGGAAGTAAATAAAAATGTTGGAGTGGGTATATTTTGCCCGGATTTAAATTTGGAAGCCACCTATATGATTCCTGGATATGCTTCCATATTTGTTGGAGAAATGTTTGCTATTATGATGGCATTGAATGTAATTGAAAGCAAAGAATTGGAGGATTCTGTAATTTTTAGTGATAGTGAAAGTGCTTTACGAGCATTAGCAGCTTATCCAAATTTTAAGGACAGTCAAATTACATTTGCTACAAAACGTAAACTATTTGGGTTAAGAGAAAAACAATTTCGAATTTCATTGGCATGGCTACCCAGTCACACGAATATTTTGGGCAATGATAAAGCTGATCAATTAGCAAATATTGGAAAGACAAATGGTCGAGATGCTGAGATTAAATGTTGGTTTACTGATTTTATTCCAATTCTTAAGGAAAAGTTTTGGTCGTTATGGAAAGGCAGATGGAAGGAGATTTCTTGTACAAAAGGGAAAAATTATGCAGAAATTGTTACTTTTCCCTACAAAAGCATATGGTTTAGATCATGTAAAGATTTTCCCAGGAAAAGATTGACAACCTTCTTCAGATTAAGAAGCGGACATTGTCTAATTCCGTCCCATTTACATCGTATAGGTGTGTCTTACTATCTTATGTGAGTGTGGAGAAATTGGAACGTTAAACCACATCTTTTTTGAATGCAATAAATTTCCCGCTTTTGTAGATAAACTATATAAATCACTTATTGGCTTTTACAAAACATCCCCTCATAATTTTACCTCCGCTTTGCATGCTCATCCAATTGTAGTTAATATTATAGGCGAATTCTTAGATAGTTGTGGAATTAATCTTTGACATTTTAAATGAAATTGTTATTAAATTTGTTTATTTTGCAGGATCTTCCTTTGCCAACATTTTTTTCAACTCAACAGTCGGGGTATGGGATTTCCCAGGCTCGCTTTATAGCGATCCTCGTCTGTGTGTCATCATTTATATAAACGCTCAACCGTAGGTAGTTAATTCTACCATCCGGCCGGATAGCCCTGGCAGCTGTGGCCATTAAACTAATATACTACTATACTACTAACCTAACCAAACGTCTTAACCGTAGGTAGTTAATTCTACCATCCGGCCGGATAGCCGTGGCAGCTGTGGCCATTAAACTAATATACTACTACTAACCCTTTGAATATAATCCTATCCATGTATTCATGCATGGTGGGCGGAAAAGCCACCATAAAAGCTCTCTAGGGTGGGGATCCTTGACAGTTCTGTTTGACGATTCATTTGACACATTTGAATTTGATTTGAAATTTTGTGGATTTGTCAGTCTTTACGGAGCTTATTTTATGTTATTTATTATTTATTCTACTACTGATAGTTGTAAAAAGGTAGTAAATCTAGATTGAAATTGTGGCAGAACTTAAATTAACAGTGACACTATCGCGATTTATCGAAAAAGACTCTAAAATAGTTGGTTGTGTAGCGTGCGGTAGATCTCTGCGCAAAAATTCAGTGAAATAATGGAACAACTTTTCGCTAGTAAGTGACTATATAATATACATACGTGTAGTAAACCGATCATTTATGAAATTCACTTAAATTAACTAAATTATATATTTTTCTTGCATTTTTAGCTTTTATTTATTACTTGTCAAAGATTAGATGTCAAAGAATTTAGATACGTTAATTTGACTTACCTGCTTCAGTAGCGTATCGGATGTTTGTGTTAATAAATACTTATTATAACTTATCTATTTTATTAGAATTATATATTTTTATAACAATTTTAATAACTACCAACATTTATTCACAACGTAAAATAAAACAACAAATTATTGAGTCTACCCCACGTCTACCCTACATCATAGTTTTACATTTTTTAAATAAAATTAGAACGACACTGATAAACCGGAATTTAAGTCGGCCATATTTGAGGCCCATCGCGGTGTACCTAAGATTTTTGATATGCTCCTTCCTTAGTCTTCTTATTCAAAGTACTAACCAAACGTGTGTAGTCTTATCTCTGGTCTTAGGTCGGCCTTGTGGTCGAAATGATTGCGCTGCTTTCTAGTAGACGCAAGGTCGCCGGTTCGATTCCGGCCTCGGACATGGGTGTTAAATGTGTGTGTGAGTCTGTACTTTGTCCGATTTAGAATTTAAGTTTAGATTTAAGTAATTGAAACGCTCTATAATAAAATTGGGAAACGCTCATATAATAAAATAAACTGGCTGAATGCCGTAATAGGCAAGTGGCCATAAATAGAAAAAAAAAATCTCTGGTCTTATGTAAATACAAATTAACTGCGTTTTTAAATATTATAGTGTTGCTGATGCTTTGAAAATAGCATTTCTTATTCAGTTTAAGATTTACGGGTATATTTAGTTACTTTAGGCACCTTGAACTTCTACAGTATCAAAGTGTATTTTATTGATTCTTAAGTTTTTTCATAATTTATTTTAAAATAGATACGACTTACCTGAAAAAAAATGGTATATGCGCCTAAAATTATATATTGAAAGACAATCAAAATGAATAAAAGCCTAACATACCTACATGAATTTACTAAAACGGAACTCACTCAATTAATCATTTCAGAACTTTGAATAAGAAGACTAAGGAAGGAGCATATCAAAAATCTTAGGTACACCGCGATGGGCCTCAAATATGGCCGACTTAAATTCCGGTTTATCAGTGTCGTTCTAATTTTATTTAAAAAATGTAAAACTATGATGTAGGGTAGACTCAATAATTTGTTGTTTTATTTTACGTTGTGAATAAATGTTGGTAGTTATTAAAATTGTTATAAAAATATATAATTCTAATAAAAATAGATAAGTTATAATAAGTATTTATTAACACAAACATCCGATACGCTACTGAAGCAGGTAAGTCAAATTAACGTATCTAAATTCTTTGACATCTAATCTTTGACAAGTAATAAAAAAAAAGCTAAAATGCAAGAATATATAATTTAGTTAATTTAAGTGAATTTCATAAATGATCGGTTTACTACACGTATGTATATTATATAGTCACTTACTAGCGAAAAGTTGTTCCATTATTTCACTCAATTTTTGCCGAGATCTACCGCACGCTACACAACCAACTATTTTAGAGTCTTTTTCGATAAATCGCGATAGTGTCACTGTTAATTTAAGTTCTGCCACAATTTCCATCTAGATTTACTACCTTTATACAACTATCAGTAGTAGAATAAATAATAAATAACATAAAATAAGCTCCATAAAGACTGACAAATCCACAAAATTTCAAATCAAATTCAAATGTGTCAAATGAATCGTCAAACAGAACTGTCAAGGATCCCCACCCTAGAGAGCTTTTATGGTGCCTTTTCCGCCCACCATGCATGAATACATGGATAGCATTATGCTCCTTCCTTAGTCTTCTTATTCAAAGATTCAGAACATACTTAGAATTTTCTAAACAATATGAACTGATCTCAGACAAACCCTGAAACGCATATTTGACAAATCAAGACGTAACGTTGAACCTTGCGTTGAACCATCGCTGAACAGACTATATACAAGGTGTCCCAGAAATAAGTGCAAGTTTTTTAAGGGGTGGTAGATCGCGATAAGAGAAACATATTTTCTCTTTATCGTTTTTCAAATAAGTCCAAAATAACGGAGTTATTTTACTTTGAAAATTTATAAAAAATGATTTTTTGCTAAAATTTTGAGAACCCACTGGATCTTTTCTGGATTTTCTTCCTTGTAAATTTAATCTAATACATATGTTGCCATATTATCAAGAAATTATGTTAAAACTAAAAAAAAAATCCAAAAAACTTTTCAAAAATTTCGAATTTTCAATTTTTTTTTTGGCGTGTTTCTGGGGTTAAACTATACTACCAGTTAACATACTTGCGTTTATTTCTGGGACACCCTGTATTGTACCTTCTAGCCAATATTCCAATTGTTTTCTATCAATTGCGCCCCATTTGTTCAAAATATTAGGAATATCTGGTTGAAGAGCTCCATTTGTATCGATATTCTCGACTGTAGCATTTTTCCATCGAAAACCATAAGTTAAACATCTAAAATCTATTATTTAAAATACCTTAAGCACAAATATTTTTTTTACCCCTTGGTATTTAATTCTGCGTCAATGTCCATATCAAAGGAGATTCCAACATCGGTTGCAACTTTTTTAAATCTACAGCCGCTCCCAACACCAGCATGTTTGTAATGGACAATTTCGCTTTTTTCAAAATATGCTTCGACCAATTTCAAACTTCTACCATTGCTACTTAAATTTGGCACTTCTAAGTTCATATCGCAGATCTTCTTTTTTAGCAAACTGTAACGATGATGTGAATACAATCATTTTACTACAATACGATCTAAAAAAACGTCAGTGGCCGTCAATAATTTAACTTACATAGATAGACATGTGTCTAACTTCTGAAATCCATTACTCCTGTTAAACAAATATAAAAAAACAAAAATTTGAGAAAAAATTGAAATTTTTGACTCCTTAATTGTCCTTACAGGCAGCTGATGAGGAAAGCATCATTTGCATCTGCAGCAATATTGCTGAAGAATTAATCATAAACAATAATATAACAGACTTATTAATATTGATTATGAAAAATCTGTAATAAAAGTACCTAATATTTATTTTTTTCTAGGATAAAAATAATATATAATATATCTTCCAAGCCAACTGGACACCGTTTTTTTTAGAATCATATAGAACTTTAATCTCTATGGTGGCGAAGATATTTTTACTTACCCTTTGGGTTGCTCTATAATTTGAATTGTTAAAAATTTCGGAATATCACTTAATTGAAGAGTAAAAATTTCGTTTATATCCAAGTAAAATCGATCGTCTAAACTGACGGGTTTAGTTTTGCAAACCAGGATGCCCTTACAATAAATCTTTACCCAAAATTTCGTGGATGATACCACTTTTTTTCTTGCGTTTTCTGATTCTTCGCCGATGTTGGATGTTTCGTTGTCGTTATTTAAAAACAACGATACATTGGGTTCGCCTAAAATATATAATAATAATTAGTTATAGACGAGACATTTTAAAACGAGCAATTTTTTTATAAAGTGCCTATTTGTCTCAAACTGTTAATAATAAAAATATTTTTCCTCTTGTAAAAACGATCCGGGAACATACTCTACCGGGGTGGTGCATCGTCGCGTCGTCGTTGGAAACAGGAAATCCCATGCAAATTTTGAACTGTCTAGATATTGGCTCTCCTATTGATTTTATAGCGAAGTCCTAAATAGTTTTTTTAAGATCTACGTTTGGTAAACACACATGCCAAATTTGAACAATTTTGGACTAGCCGATTTTGAGTAATTTGAGAAAAACTGAATCCATTTTTAAATTAAAACTGAATTGGTAACAATCAAACACCAGTCAAAACCGGCATACCTTAAGTTGTCAGCGTCATTTTCAAACGTAACATAATTTTAATAAAATCTTAATATTCAGTACCTACTAGCCTTCTACTAGTAATAAATTATTATTACAGTACGTCCTGTGGTACGTCTGTCCGTTCTGTAGCTACGGGGTATCCGTGAGAGGGGAAACGATATTCTCTCGATGTTTTTCGTCAAAAATTAGACGACGCGTCCCATCAATAAAAATTCGACAAATTTGCAAGTAGCCAATAAAATGAGTGTGCGGAGCGATTAGCGGTGACGTACTCGTCAAGTCGACGTATAAAATATATTGCTGTTTATTTAAATGTTTTTTGTCCGCATTCCTTTCATAGACACAGATCCAGCAGATGTACTGTACGTCTCCTGGATCTGTGTCTATCCACTCATTTTATTGGCTACTTGCAAATTTGTTGAATTTTTATTGATGGGAGCGTGGTCTATTTTTTTACGAAAAACATCTAGAGAATATCGTTTCCCCTTTCACGGATACCCCGTAGCTACAGAACGGACAGACTCAGGGGCGAGAAAGTGAAATAGCAAAAGCGGTTCCACCGTTTCCACGGAAATCTCAAATAAAATAGTTCCAGCCCTAGCCACTAGGTGGCAGTGCAAATAATTTTTAGGTTAAGAAGTTGCTACTAGTTATTGCCAGATGGCGTTAAATCAGAATTTTTTTGTAGTTTCCATAGTTTCCAACGGCCATTGTCGTATTATTGTCAAATTCTCAAAAAATATTGTCGTTGTCATAGCGCCAATCATAATATTACAAATAAATGATTATCAAAACGTTTTTCAAACTATAATTTGTTATATGTGTTTTAATTAGACAATTCCTTTTGTTTGTGGTCCTAAAAATATAATGTAAGTCTTTTATTTTTGCCATCATTTAAGTACCTATTTATATTTACTCCATTTACAAAACTTTGGGCGTATTACGTTGGTCTTGTTTTATTATAATAAACGATGTTTAAATATTTGACTTATAAATAAAAACTTTAAATAATAAAAATTGTATAAATTATACATTAAATGTTAAATATTATTTTTTACACATAACAACGATACTTGTTATTAGTATTGTTGAATTTGTGTAAAAAATAAGATTTAATAATCAAATTTAATTATTTTAGAGTAAAATTCAATAAATACGCTCATTTAAAAAGCCCGCGCTTCGATCCATTTAAAACAAGCCCTACTCAATAGATGGCGCCACTTCTGTAGGACCATTTTTCAGTATGGCAGAGTCCATTCTTTTTCTAGCTAGGTATATTCTTTGGGACAGACGTAGTGAACTGTAGATATACACATTATCAAATACGTTTAAATTACCGGAAATTTAAACGTATTTGCACATTATAAAGAAAAAGTGAGCATGATAAATGGTACTACGCGGAAATAGCTTAGACAGTGTCGTGTCTGACATATTTCCGGTAATTTCTCCTCAATATTAAAATTAAATTACTTTTGATATTGACATATCATCATCTTAGTTTGTAAACCTAAGGTACGTTGTATGTCAGTTTTTGACTGGTGTTTGATTGTTACCTGTTTGGTTTTAATTTAAAAATAGATGCAAACTTTCTTAAATTAAAAATGACAGCGGACAGCGATCTTCATTTCCAAACCAAGAAACAACTGTGACATAGGGTTCCCAACTTGAGCATCGGCGATTCCGGGACAATTATTTTTAAGTTTTTAAATAATTGAAACAAAACATTAAATATTAGAAATTCAAATATACTATATGTAAATGTGATATTTTTGGTCCCGGCCAAGGCAAAATTTTCGCCGGGACAAACTTTCTGATTCCTGGTTAATCCCGGTCAAACCGGGACGGTTGGGAACCCTACTGTGACACCGTTTTTTCGATCGTATGGTATTTACTGAGGTACTTTTGAACATTTTGCTTTGTTCTTAGTACGCATTTTTTATTTTTCATTTAAGTCAAATATATATATATTTGATATCAATTAAACTTTTAGTTACGTAATCGAGTTGCCACATTTATTTATTTATTTCCTGGCATTGTCATTCGTTTTGACAATTTAGTTTTGTATTGCGAGCTTTGGTTTAAATAAATAGTGTTGTAACACTTTAAGCTTAAAAATGTTTACTAGCAGACCTTGCAGTCGAACATTGTTCTTTTTAGAACCTCTTTTAGTGCGAAAAACATCGAAACTCATCGCAACTTTATTAAAATATTTTGAACTGAAAAGCGGTAGTAATGGCCCTTTATGTCCCTTAAGTGATGTTAAGAAAGTGGGTTTTGTTGATGTAAATAATAACTGTTTATATATTTATAATTAATTTATTTTTGTTTCCTAAAATATTTTGATTAAAAGAAAATATATAAAAGTTGCACGTTGTGCCGGTCAAGCTTAATCACGTGACTAAAAGTTTATTTGGTATGAACTATAAATTTCAATTTTAATATATCTATTAAAAATATTTTCATAAGCTCTCTTATTTTCTTGTGACCTTTATCCAATAAACTTTTTAAATTGTACAGAATTGTCAAAAATATTTTTTTCTGTCCTAGAATAAAAAGCTTATTATCTATTGCATTTTTGTTTTTCATATCTCTCAACATACAGGGTGCTTCAAAAATATGTTCCATCTCTTGTGGGGAGATTCCTCACGTAAAAATGAGATTTATTTTTCATATCAAAATGGGTCCGATTCTGTTTTGTTTTGTAGTACAGAAGGTTAAACTTCATTTTTTTCGATTTATTATAATGTTTTTCCAAGTGCTTTTAGCGATTCGAATTTTGGAGGGTAAAACTTACTATGAGGACGTGCATACGGGTTATCACTGGAATATTTTTCTAAAAAAACATGTGCGCCAATGACTTTTTTCATCTTATTAGCAAAAGTGTGTAAGCCATTTAATGCCGATTAAAAGTTGTATCTTCATATCTTGACCATTTTGATCTCCTCAATGAAATTTGCGACCGCTAAGGATCTTATCTCTTATTTATTGTACCGTATGATCGAAAAAAAAACCGACGTCCAGTTGCCTTGGAAATGACGATCGATAACATTTCCCATATAATTTTACAGATAAAATGACGGAGATCTTCATTTCATATCCATCGTTGACGCCGCTTTTTTTTTGAAACGTGCGCGTTACCACGTCCACACTGAATGCAAACGACGATGCAGTCAATGTTAAAAAAAATGTTTTTTGTGGTCCGGTCTGGACGGACTTCCACCGGAAAATGTTTTGCGCGGCTCGGCGCGGAGCGACGCGCCCCTCTGGACGCACCATATTATAATTTGCAATATTTCGAAATATACACACTTACGGAATAACCAGTGTACACAAACTTATCCGTATTTTTCATTCTAATAAGCTAAATATTATAAAATCTGGTGGTTTCAATTTGAAAAAATTGATTGACACATTGTATAAAGAAAACATATAAATATAAATACCTGGTGGTTTAAAGCTTTCTTCGAATTTCTTTCTCAAATCTTTTTCAATTTTTTTCTTCTTGGTGTCATAAATTGGTTGTCCTAAAATGGTCTCCTCAATGTCCTCGCTCTCGGATATATCACGGGTTCGCAAACTTCGATTGTATTTTTTCATTTTCTGCTGAAAATTCATTTTATGTTCATCCAAAACATCTCTTAACATCTCCGAAAAATATTTCTCATGCTCCTCATTTTCTAATGTAAAATTTACTGATTCTTTTTTGATTAAAAGCTTCACACTAGTAGTTGAATAGCCTTGTTGTTCTCTGAGACTTTTTATACCTTAAAAATATATTTTTTATTAGAATATTACTTATCCACCCCCTGGTATAAGCTTCAAAATTACAGACCTCGCCAAATATTGAGTATTAATTTTAAATTCTCTCTTTGGTTTTTGCCTTCTTTAAATAAATTTTCTCTTAGGTTTTCTACCACTTTTATTGAGAAATGTTCACTATCGTTCTGACACCTGGCATGCTTCAAGGCCTCCAGTTGATTTTTTAATTTCTGTATTTTATTTGTGCTGGTAAAATTTGCATATTTTTTAAATGCCTTGTATAAAGCTTGTTCTAAAATATGTTCTAAGCTGAACAACGGATGGTGGAAAAACTTAACATGGGATAACGAAAGTTCTAATATATTTTCCGGTATTATTAATACTTCTTCCATGTTAATATCATGGTCGCAGTATTTATAATACAATCCTTCGCCATTTTTCAGCTTTAAATAAGGTTTTACTGAATGATGTATTTGTGGGCTGGGTAAAATTAGTAAACTACCATCACAATTAAACCATTTCCTGCAAAATTAATTTGAAATAAATATATAAAATTAATAAATGAACTTAAATATACCTGTCATTTTCAGAATACAAGCGTTTTTCTAGGATATTAAGATATATTTTAGGAGTCTGCGAATTAGTATGAATATACAGACCTTCTTCTTCTAAATTTCTAGATTCTGGTTCATCAATTTTACTGATTATAAATACAGGATTGCTTAAAATCGCATAGAGATATTACCTAACTGTATTTTTAAAATTATACTTAACATATGAATAAACTCACTTATCTGTTATAAAATGTATAAAACTCTCAGAAATATTTATCAATGGTTTGAGATTTTTGGGCTTGGCAAAGTGTGTTAATTTATCATGATTTTCATTTAAATGTTGGTCAGTTTTAGTGTTAATATTATTCTCTAATTCAGATACAAAAAAACCTACTGTTTCAGTGGTTTTATTACGAGAAGGATATTTATTTCTCATAGATTGGATATTTTTATTAATCTCAGTATTATCCTTATATATCTGATTAACAGAAGACTTAACATGTTTCAGTTTATCTAATATCCTGCAATATAAGGGAATATAACCCTTGTCCATAATCAAGGATATAACTAAATATTCAGACTGAAATAAAAGCATACTTTCTTACATTTCTTTTTTCTTTGTACTCCCAGAAGCTTCAGAAAATACATCATTTGACAATTCGGATATTGTATCACTCTGATCAATAAATTCCGATATCTTAGACGCTTTTTTAACGGAAAATAAAGATACAACCTCTGATACATCTTTATCACCCGAGCTGGGGTGAATAGGTGACATAAAAGGCGGTGATGATATTTTACTCTTATTTTTCGAAAACTGTCGTAGTTTATTTTTAATGGGCGATGTAATTTTTACCATTTCTAACAACTCTTCCTACAAATAATAATATATTTATTAGGTACACATTAACTGAAAATTAATTTTAATATTTGCAAATTACTTTCGAGCCACTCATTTTCAAAATGTTATAATGCTTATAAGCAGTTATAAGTTATAAGTTTGTATATGTCAAATGACTTTATAGCACTGTTTATAGTATGCCTTACTTGTTACCATGGTAACACAGCATGGTAACTGATGGCAGCTGATGGTAACTCTTTAATTACACCAATCCAAAACAAGAATCTAGCGACCGTGCGGTCCGCATCGATTCGAAGGCTTCGCGCAGGTTTCAAGTTTATTTTAATTTATAATTTTTATTATTCTACATTGTACAGGGTGTCCCATTTTGGTTGAAATTATACGGTATCTCTGTGATTCATGAAGATAGAAGGGTGCGGTTTGCACAAACCTGTGCGAATTTTTTGTCAAACGGAAGATGCTGTCAACAAACTTTTCATAGCCTTCTTCGTTTCTGAACTACAGGGCCTTTTCGAAAATTTTGGAATTTGGGACAGGTCCTGTATCTCCGTTATTATGGATGATATCGAGAAGGTGAAAACTGATTCTTGTAAAACTGTTTACGTAAAATACAGTGGCGTAGTCTGTTTTTCTACGATTTTTTTTTGAAAATATGAACTAAAGTTATGTTTTTCAAATGGAACACCCAGTATATTTATAAATCATGTGATCCGCTTTGCTATAAGCTTCTTAAAAATATATACCACTCTATAATTATTTTTACTAATTACTGCAATATTTAAAATATATCATTTTCTTATTAGTATAGGCCGTGATAAATAACACAAAATCAAAATGGTATTTATTAAAATAGTTCTACGCATATTAAAATTTTATTTGGAATTGATATATTTTACTTTTGAACTGTTACCACTGAATCCCTGAACATATCTTTATTTTTTTTATAACGGGATAGGTTTGCAAATATCTAAAAGCTTGCATTACTAACTTGCATTATTAAAGCATTTTCCAGGTGTTCGACATTGTATTGGTTCCCACGATATATTTTATTTTTCAAAAACCCCAAAATCAGAAATCGAGGACGGACAAATCCGGGAATCAGGGAGGCCATCATATGGGTCCATTGGTCGTTCCAATTCGTTGATTTGAGAAATAATAATTTAACAATATTCTAATATTTTCGTTGTTAAGTTAAGTTGTGAGGGGGGGGCCATCTTGCTGAAAGTATATTTTATGTAAATTAGCTAAAGGAATATTTAAAAATTTCGATACGATAGCTTCTAAGATTTACAAATAGCAATAGAGAGTTAAGTTTTCCTAATATACTATAAAGAATTTATTAGTGGCTCTCAAAATAAAAGAAGAGACAGATAACAGTATACTTTTAATAATTCATTAGTTTCTTTTATTAAATCATGATTATTATCAATCATGGCCTACTAATAAATATGATCCTTTAATATATATTTTTTTAAACGTTGCAGTAAAAAGTGAAAATAAATATAAAGTGATATATATTTTTGAGAAGCTCATGGCAAGCCAAATCATATAATTTATAAATATACAGGGCGTCCCATTTAAGAAAACGTAACTTTAATTTATATCTTCAAAAATATTATTTTCGTAGAATAACAGACTAAGCCACTGTATTCTACGTAAAAAGTTCTACAATAAACAGTTTTCACCGTCTCGATACCTTGAACAATAATAGAGATACAAGGGGTGTCCCAAATTGCAAAATTTTCAAAAAGACCCTGTAGCTCAGAAATGAAGAGGGCTATGAAAATTTAATTTACGGCATCTTCCGTTTGACAAAAAAGTGGCATAGGTTGTACAAACCGCACCCTTCTATCTTCACGAATAACGGAGATACCGTATGATTTCAACCAAAATGGGACACCCTGTACAGGGTGGGTCAAATTCGACGCTTTTAAAGGGAAACACCCTTTTCTATAGGAGATAGACGAAAACTAATATTGGCGTCTGGAGCTTATTTTTTTATCAAAAACATGATGGTGAAAACCGCACATCGATATCTGCTACCGTTTCGGAGTTACGGGGTGTTTTTCAAAAATGTACCTTTTTACGTAGAATTTAATGAATTAATTATATTTTTTTTTTAATTAATAATTTAAGAGTTATCAACAGAAAAATTGATTTTTTATTTGGGACGCCCTGTGTATCTTTAAATAAATAAAAATAACTTAAAATAACATTTCCAAAAATATAGCACACTTGATATTTTGTTATAATACCCCTTCGAAATACAGAATTTTTAAAAGTTTGCCACTTATAACTAGTAGGCTTTGGACCCCTTATTGATTATCAGCCCCTAATGGAACTCGAAAACATATTTTTCCAGCAAGACGAGACACCGCCTCAGAACGCTGAAGTTATCGGCTAAATTTTGCAGCCAATTTCGATAATAATTGATCAGCTAACCAAGATCCCAGCCGTTGGCCGTCGAGGCCGCCGGACTTAGTCCCTATGCATTTTTATCTTTGCGAAAGAACAAAAGTTGTAATTTTTAAATTGCCTGTATAATCTAGACAAGAATTAGAAGTACTTAGCGGTTATGCGAGGGTATCTTTCACCCCCATTAAGTTAATAAATTCCGCGAGAAATGTTAAAACACGGTGCCGTCTGTCCACAACAGAAGACGGTCGAACACCTGTAGCAAAATCTCATGTCTTGGTTTGCTATTAATTTTTATCGTTATTAGATAATATATACAGGGTGATTCCTGTAAGTCTGTCATGCTTTCGGGGAATGATAGGGGACGTCGAAATATTAATTTTGATATAGCACACTATGGGTCGGAAATGCCTCTTACGCAAGATACAGGGTGTTAAAGTTTTTGAAAAATAAATAGATATTCTTTAATAGTTTTTTAACAGTTGAAGGTATCGTTATAAAATTTTATTATAGGAGTCTACCTAACAGAGACACTTTAAATGTAAAAAGAAAAGGTTTCAGTTTCAACCAATGGCGTAGATGTGATACACATCGGGTATTTTTTTCAAAAAAAAAATGGTACGCCACTGATAAAAATAGAAAGGTTTTTTTATTTACTCGGTTTATTTTCAAGAAAAAATGTCTCTTGCAACTTTCTCCTATCTAATACCATTTTATCACAATTTAAAAATAAATAAATGTATTAATGGGAACCTTAAATACAACGAATTATTATAACTAGAGGGCAGAAACACATGTGCATCATTAGCTCCCTTCATCACTTACATATGAATTTAAATAGGCCAGATATAAGAGATATCCCAGACGTTACACTTTGAGCATCTCTTAAACTAATAAAAACTTCATTGTTAATAATAATTAAATTCTTAGTTTTAAGGTAGTTATAATAATTCGCTGTATTTAAGGTTTTCATTAATAAATTTATTTATTTTTAAATTGTGACAAAATGGTGTTAGATAGGAGAAAGTTACAAGAGACATTTTTTCTTGGAAATAAGCCGAGTAAATAAAAAAACTCTGAAATTTTTATTTTTACCAGTGGCGTACTATTTTTTTTTTAAATACTCGATGCGTATCACATCTACGCTACTGGTTGAAACTAAAACCTCTTCTTTTTACATTTAAAGTGTCTCTGTTAGGTAGACTCCTATAATAAAATTTTATAACGATACCTTCAACTGTTAAAAAACTAGTAAAGAATATCTTTAATTTTTCAAAAATTTTAACATCCTGTATCTTGCGTAAGAGGTATTTCGGACCCATAGTGTACTACATCAAAATTAATATTTCGACGTCCCCTATCATTCCTCCAAAGCATGACCGACTTACAGGAATCACCCTGTATATTGTATATATGTATAGTTTAAATGTATTGATGTTGTTAAATATAGTTTAAATCAGGGTTGGCATGATTTAAATCAAATGATTTAAATCATGATTTAAATCGTGATTTAAATCAAATGATTTTTTTAATTTTAATCATTGATTTAAATAAAAAAAAATAATTTTATTAAAACTTTATTATAAATCAAAAAATAGCTGTAAAAGTTCCCAAAAAATGTGTCCTAGAAAACTATAAAAAATATTTCTATAAAAGATATATAACAGATAATAAATCGAAAAGTAATTGTAAATGTTATAAAACTATATAGAAATATCTATTCATCAATTTAAATGTTGGACCGATTTTTGAAGTAATTTCGTGTGAATCCATTAGACCGCTAAACGCAGGGATTTATTTTAAAATTTATGTATAAGTGACAAAAATTCGCTGTTCCAATACATATCATTCGCAGTCTAGTGCAGAACTAGGTTCTTCTGATATAGAGACTATATCTTCATTCCCGAGAATCTATAATAATCGTTGTCAGGAAATATGTTTTTTATTTTTTTTTGAAATGGTTGTATTTTTCCAAATTCTTACCGACATTTTGATCTGCAGTAAGTATTTTACACTTTGACATTAGATAATACTAATTTCATTCTCGACTTAAGAGTATTTCCGAACAATAGTGTATTGTTTTATTAGGAGTAAAAATTATACATTTTTTGATGGTGCTGTACCTTTGAAGGACCATCGTAAAGCTATTCCGACGTTACAAGGAAGAAAAAAAAGTACATTTTTACTCCTAATAGAACATACATACTATTTATTTAAAACATTACAAATCATTTTTAATCAATTTCAAACATTGCAAATAATATAAACAGCAATCGAGCAACAATTTGTACATTCGTTGAATTTGACACTTAATATCAGCTTAATAATATATTTTTGTACTTTTGTGCTTAGGCGTAACAATGCTTTACTTTTATATTATACCTAGGCGTTAAAATGACAAAAATTAATACTTTTGAGACGTTTGAAAAAAAATCCTTTTGATCTGAAGCGAGCGACTTTTTTGCGAAATATATTGGTGACCGATGTGGAAAAATGACAAAACGCACCCTAGAATTATTAATGTTATCGATAACGGGCAGAGTTATAAAGATTTAGCCATTTAGGATAGGACTTTAATTGGAAATAAGTCCTAGTCATTTGAAAATCCAATTTAACATTGTTTTGAATTAAAATCAAAAAAATCTTATTTAAATCAAATAAATCTGATTTTTTTTGATTTTTTTAAAAATATCATGATTTTTTCCAACCCTGGTTTAAATTGTTATAAAATTCTAAATCTCTCATTGCGAATATTATTTTTGTTTTAATTGCTGCT